CTGGTGCGCCCCGTCCCAAGTGCAGGGTCGGCGGGCGGGGTGCTGGCAGGCTTGCATCTGGCACGGGCATCGTAGCCAGACCGTGCCCCTTTAAGGACTCCGGGGCCGGGAGGGGGGCAGAAGAGTTTCCCTGGTGGTGCCCAGAGTGGCCACCAGGGAAAGCTGGGGAGGGCTAGCCTCCCACTACTTCGAATTAAGTGGCTACACAGCCCTTAATTCGAACTAGTTAATTCGAACTAGGCATTAGTCCTCGTACAATGAGGTTTACCTAGTTCGAATTAAGCGCTCCGCTAGTTTGAATTAAGTTCGAACTAGCGGTTTGCCTGTGTAGTGCCTATCAAAGTTAATTCGAACTAACGTCTGTTAGTTCGAATTAACTTTGTAGTGTAGACATACCCAGGGAGATTTATGTTAGATACTATGCAAAACTTTCTTACTATAAGGGTGGTTGAGCACTGGCCTAAGTTACGTTGGGAGGTGGTGGAATCCCATCGTTGGAGGTTTTTGAATAAGCATTAGACAAATACGTATCAGGGATCGTTTAGGTTGGGGTGAGCAATAATTTTAGATGGAGGGGGCCACTTCAGAAATGTCTGAAGTGCCCCCAGGCCACTCCGGAAGGGGTGGAACCTTGGATGGAAGGGGTGGGGACAGGACACTTCCGTGCTTCCACAGCCACAGACCTTGACTGGCCTGGGATTGGAGGGAGCACTCGAAATCTTTGTCCCACCTCCCCTCCCCCAGAGAGAATCACCAGCTGTTCTGAACAGCTGGCGGTTCCCTCTAGGCACCTGCGCCCCTGGCGACAGGTGGTGACTTCGCACACTCCTCCTGCCCCAGGTCAGTCAGGGCTTGGGAGTGTGGGGAGCACAGGAAGTCTCTTACTCCTTGCCTCCACCCTGCAAAGGGTGTGTGGTGTTTAGAGACAACCCTGGCAGTTGACTTTAAGCACTGCATGCCCCTAGTGGGGAGAGGAGACTTCGCACACTCCCGTCCCCAGGCCCTGATTGGCTGGGGAGCGGGAGAGTGGCAGGGAGTATACAGGCCAGATCAACCCACTTGGTGGGCCGGATCCAGCCCGCAGAGACCTTTTGCCCACCCTTGCTTTAGATAAACTTAGTCCTGCTCAGCACAGAGGGCTGAAGTAGAGAACCTCTCGGGGTCCCTTCTCGCTCTTGATTTCTATGATTCCGTGACTGATGGGGTAAGTAGGGGTTGCTCCTTGTGTGTGGGGAGGATGGGAGGGGTTAGGCTTGGGGTACTCCTGAGGGCCCTAGCAACCCTGTGATTCTCTGTGTGTCTCCTCCTACAGGTGGTGAGGGCCATCAACACCCTCCTGCTGTGTAGGGTCATCAATCTGGGCGACGTGGACCCCATCATCGCCCTCCCCTGGGGGGGAGGGGGGGGGGGGGTGTATGGACAGCACCCACATCCCCATCCAGGCCCCCAACCACCGGATATCCGAATACATCAACCGCATGGGGTACTATTCGATGGTGCTGCAAGCCCTCGTCTACCACCACAGTCTATTCACGGACATCTACGTCAGGTGGTCGGGGAAGGCGCACGACACAGGCATCTTCTGAAACTCCAGCTTCTTCCAGAAGCTGCACGCTGGCACTTTTTCCCCCGACCGCATCATCAGGGTCAAGGACATGGACATGCCAATGTGCATTGTAGGGGACTCAGCCTACCTTCTAGTGGTCCATTTACAACAGTCGAGTAGCACAGCAGGGACAGGATTTAGTCTACTTTGAATCTAGGTTTTTAACTTCATAGCATAATAACTCAGAAGGGATCTCAGCTCTGATGTATCCTGTATTGGAAAGATTGTTCTGCATCACCGTGCTGGCTTCTGGGTCAAGGACCGTTCTCTGCCAATATCCACACAGAACCAGGCTGCTACCAAATCCTGATGATTCTCTCCCATCAGAAAACAAGACTTTTCTGCACTGAAGCCTTGTCCCTCAGCATTGCAAGGGCACTTGGATGCTGGGTTTGGCATCTGCCTCCAGCACAATGCCTTAAATTGTGCAATGGGGCACCAAGGGCAAGGGAAAAGCTGTATGATGTAGCAGCAGGCAAAATAACTAAACACCAATATAAGAAAGACATAACATCAAATGGCAAAAGCCAACAGAACAAGACCCTAAAATTATACATCATATTAAACAATAGTAAAGACTCTGCAGAAGTTTATATTTTGATCTATATTTCCAGTTTAAAATCTGCTTAAGTGCATAATTTTAGAAACCAGTGTTGAATTGTCAGATTAGCAATGTTTATACAATCATGATCCTGGAATTGCTTCAATCACATAATTGCATTTCCATCAATTAAAAAAGTTAAACATTTATATTACAAATATTCGTAAGACCATACCCACCTGAGAGCCCACAAAACCCACTATTACTGTCATTGTAATGGATTTAAATGTTGTTCAATTTCTTTACAGGGTTCACCAAATTCTGTCCCTGATGACACTTGTTCTACCACAGCCTGCAACCATACACTGCATTGTGTACTGCAGATACCTTTTTTCAGGGGCTAATACTGGGACATATGTTGCCACACTACTACTTAGTATTTATATAGCACTTTACAAACCTTAGTCAATCCTCAGCAACACCAATGTGAGATAAGTAGGTAGGCAAGCAGGCATGTATTAATTGCAACAAGCATGGTAAGTGCTGGCTGTTAAGTGAGTCAACAACAGCCCAGCTCAGCTCAGCTCTTCACTTTAATAAATGTGTACATTGTTATTCAAGAATGTTCAAACAGAACTGTTCTTCAATGTTCACTACAAATCTAAGCTCCAAAAACAGTCTAACCTACTTCATGCCTTGTCACAACCCACTCTTTTGCTGGTTCAAAATGTCTTGCTCTCTCTGCCACCCCATAACAACATAAGAACACAAGAACGGCCATGCAGGATCAGACCAAAGGTCCATCTAGCCCACTATCCTGTCTTCTGACAGTGGCTACTGCCAGATGCCCCAGAAGGAGGGAACACAACAGCTAATCCTCACGTGATCCCTCTCCTGTCATCCATTTCCAGACAAACAAGAGATCAAAACATTTCAAAGCTGGTTTTCTTAAGGTATTACAATTTAATTAGGAATTTAAAATGTATGCAAACCTTGAAGGGCACATTCAACTATCATCATCCAACTTTTTTCACCCTCTTGCCTTACTCCACAGATAGTGACAATATAAAAGACAGAGTGTGCATGTGTGTGTGTCAAAGACTGAAAATCACTTTATCACTTGATCCAAGTGTTTTACAGCTTGCCTTTTACACTCCAAAGGAAAACTAAAGATTTAGTTTTAGATTCAGGGTCTCAAGGCACATTAGTGGACTGACTGGCTTGAGAAGACTTTGGCACCTCATAGGATCTGTAGACAATCAAGGACAGCGTGCTTTACACAGCCCCAAGGAATGCAAAACAGAAAAATGTTACCTCAAGATAACATCAAAGATTTATCTCAGGCTCTATGCGCTTAAAAAAAAACATTTGCATATAAAAAAGAACAATCATCCTCCACTCAAAATGCATCTTCCATTAATGGACTATCTTGTACACAGGGTCTCCAACTTGAATCGTTCCGGTTTTATCAATTCCATAATACCATCCAAACAGAGGGTGAGATTTGTAGAGATGTCTCTCAGAAGGATCACACAAACGGTAACTGTACAGAGAAAATGGCCATTATTAATCACTTACAGCAAAACACAGATTCAAGAAGAACAAAAAAAAGGGGGAGTGGAGACTTCATTTTAAGTTGAATGAAATGTAGAAGAATAATGAATGTGCAAAAATTCCCGGATTCTATTGTATGTATGTGAAAGCTTGACACAGAACTGTTTCTTTATAACTATTTATTTTCCTCCACTGCAATTCTCCAGGTTGTGTAATTGTAGGATAGCCCATGTGTGCGGCTTTTTGTGTATTGATGTGCTGCATATTTCTTTTAAGTGTTTATGTTTTTTTCAGTTTTTAAAATAGTGGTTGTGGTGTTAAGAAAGGTGAGTGAAGAGTTTCCTAGAACATGATCTACTGCTAACTTACAATTAAGGGATGTTATTAAAGTTATCTCAACAAAGGTTAATGGGCTTTTTTACCTAGGACATAATGTCCATGCATTCTGTTTGGGTATGTCTACACTACCACCCTAGTTCGAACTAGGGTGGTAGTGTAGACATACCCAAACAGAATGCATGGACATTATGTCCTAGGTAAAAAAGCCCATTAACCTTTGTTGAGATAACTTTAATAACATCCCTTAATTGTAAGTTAGCAGTAGATCATGTTCTAGGAAACTCTTCACTCACCTTTCTTAACACCACAACCACTATTTTAAAAACTGAAAAAAACATAAACACTTAAAAGAAATATGCAGCACATCAATACACAAAAAGCCGCACACATGGGCTATCCTACAATTACACAACCTGGAGAATTGCAGTGGAGGAAAATAAATAGTTATAAAGAAACAGTTCTGTGTCAAGCTTTCACATAAGAAAAGAATAAAGAATTTGTGTTAAAGAAGTATAATGAGATGTGAATAAAGTTTCATGGCACATCAAATATTTAGGATGGAATAATCAATAGACTTTCTTCTCACTCACAATGAACTGAGAGTTTTGGGGGCTTTACATAACAGCAAATTAGTTAACACTGCTGAAAGGAGATTATCCAGGTGCACTGAGAGATCTGACAATTCAATTCTCAGTTCAGCAAGCAGAGGCAGGGAAGAAAGTTGATAAGTAGGGTTGCCAGATGGTATAACCCAAAATACCGAACATCCTCCCGTCCCTTCCCCCCCCAAAAAAACCACTGGGAAAAAAATTATGTTGAAAATAAAAGGGGGAGGCCAAAGTTGTTGAGGGGAAAAAAAGGACCCCGACAGTTATTTGGCAAAAAAATTAAAAATCAGCATGGCCCCTTTAAGAGGCTTTTTTGATGGTGGCCATCTTGTTTTTCTGCTCCAGCCACAAGACAAGCCCCTGCGGAACCACGTAAGCAGGGACGGGTTGGAGGGGCATCCGGGGGGGTGGTCCGGGGGACTGGGCCCGGTTGCTGAGTGTGTTGTAGGGTTGCCAGGTGTCTGGTATTTTTGCCTTCTGGCAGAGAAAAAAATCAGAAAATACCAGACATTTTAGGTATCCGGTATTTTCTGAATTTTTTTTTACCAGACAGAAGGCAAAAATACCGGACTGTCTGGGTCAATACCAGACACCTGGCAACCCTATTGATAAGGTGATAGCTGTATTAAGAGTTCAAACCTACAGATCAGGGTTTCCCAATCTATGGGTAAGGACCCAAATATGGGTCGCCATTACATTTCAAAAGGATCACCAAGTGTCTCCCCAGGTGGCTCTGCCCTCCCTCCTCCCCCTGTTTTTGAATTGCCTTGGGTCACCAAGTCTTCCTGAATTGTCAAAATGGGTCTCCACCTGGAAAAGGTTGGGAACCGCTGCTGTAGACTCTTACGCAGTTGCATAGGTTATTGTAAGACTGGGGCCTGGGAAGAAACCTCATTTAATAGGGCGATGGTTAGAGCCAATGAAATTTTTGCATGCAATTTAGATGTAGAATATGGGTGAAGACGGAGTTCCCTGTTGTGTCACAATAGTCTAGGGACTCTTGGCATGGCACAGACACATGCTTTACTATACACAGCATGAGTGTATTCTGTAAAGTTAAAATGGCTGAAAACTTAAAAACTGACCAGTAAGAGACTGCAAATCCAATGAGTGGATGTGATGATAAACAAAGAGCGCTCTCAGACATGTTTCTAACTGTTCCTATCAGTTCACACTGACTCACACATTCAAGGGTTTAGAACAACATCTGGCTATAGAATTTATAGCTCAAACTATAAAGGCTCCTATACTAAACTCCAGAGATGCCAGGTTCAATTCCGCCTGGTGGTGGTTACATATACACATAGCAACCCTAATAAAGCCAAGCACTCGGAAGTCAGAATAAAGGCTGCCTCTCTGCCATTTCACTGTGATCTCCTTGGCTATGTCTAGACCACATGGCTCCGTCGACGGAGCCATGTAAAATAGTTTATTCGGCATAGGCAAAGAAGTGGGGATTTAAATAATCTCCGCTTCATTAAAATAAACATGGCCGCCGCGCTATGCCGACGATCAGCTGATCCGGCACAGTGGGGCAGTCTAGACGCGCCGCAGTCAACAAGGGAAGCCTTTGTCAATAACTCCGGTATGCCTCGTGAAACGAGGTTTACTGGAGTGGTCAACAAAGGCTTCCCTTGTCAACTGCGGCGTGTCTAGACTGCCCCGCTGTGCCGGATCAACTGATTGTCGGCATAGCGCGGCGGCCATGTTTATTTTAATGAAGCGGAGATTATTTAAATCCCCACTTCTTTGCCTATGCCGAATAAACTATTTTACATGGCTCCGTCGACGGAGCCATGTAGTCTAGACATAGCCCTTGTGGGTAAGCATTATGACAGTCTTGAATTACATGGTCATTAATATGTGTCTTCCCCATATCTTATTACTTCTCAATTGCAGTGTTTTTGCCTAGCCAGTCAGAGTATTACTCAGCAACACATCCAGTCTTAGGTTTCTCCCTCTTCCATCTACTAGCTTCCACCAGTCTTTCCTTGTTTTCTTCTTGGCTCCCACCTGCCATCTCCTGACCAACCAATAGTGTTCCATCCATTTTCCCCCTCTCCTTTCCCAACCAGTCTCAATTCCCTTCCCCAGCAATTACTAGTCTCTCTCATTTCCTGCCCCACCAGCCTCCAGTCCAAATGTCTATCCTCACTTTTCACGAGTCCAGCTCATGTCCACTCTGCATTCAAATTTGAATCAGGCCACAATGCTTTGGCCCAGAAGGGTTTCATCGAGAGCACAGGAGAGAGACTTCCTGCTCTCAGTTCAGGTGACCAGACCTAGACCCAGACCCAGATCCAATCCACAGAAGCCCAGAGCCTCAATTGCAGGGGAAGATCTGCTCAGCCCCAGGCTGGAGCATGACTAGTTCAGACAGAATCTTCAGGGAATTTAGTTGCTAACAGTCCATCATGTCTCTAATGAGCATGTACAAACTGCAATTTTCAAAGGCTTATAACTTGGCCTCATATGGGAGGATTTTCACAGGGATTGTAAGAGGCATATCCCTGAAATAAGGGCCACCCCCACAATATTTGAAGCCCCCCATTCAAAGCATAGGATACTAGAGTTTTAGAAAGCAAAGATCACCAATGTCTGGTTGGGGGGGGGGGAAGGGAGGTTAAATGTAGGTAAAACATTTTTCCCCTAGCCTCATTCTCATAAAGAGCTGAACCTCTGGCTAAAATTAGTCTCCCATCCACTCCCAAATAACAAAAATAAACCTGCCTGAGGCAGACACCTAGCATGGAAAACTTCAACCCAAGTAGTGAAAGTTTGGAAAAATTGTAAATAGCTGAAAAGGGAGTCTTAAAATAGGAAGCGTCAACCTTAGTAAAAGGTGGTGCTACCTCCCTCACCAATAATAGTCTCTCTTTCTCTCTAACACACACACACCCACTCACACTCACTCTATAGTTTATATATTTATAGGATAGATATACATGATTTCCATGTAAAACTAGACAGTTAAAGTATGCAGTTTAAAAGACTGTATACTTGGTATAGTCCTTGGCTATACTATACACGCACACCTTCTTGAAAAAGGGGACCCAGGAATCCTATATATAGAAAAGGAGAGCTCGAGAGTCTTCATGAGTTCTCTTTTCAATATAGTGCATGGGCAAGGACTGAATTCAAAGTATGCAGTTTAAAAATGTTGTCTGAGTACATGGAGCAATCATTTCTAATGCCTTATTTTTAAAGTAACTGCCAAATTCTAGCTGGCAATCATTTCTATCTGTCCAACACACACAAGAGGAGACCCACTACTATTTGTGCTACCTTTTCAGTGTTTCCAATGGCTCCTTTCTGTCAATGATACCAGTTTCTGGATCAACTGTTGTTAAAATACACCTGCAATGATAGACAATGTCAGACAACAGATGTTACTTCATATTTATTTTTCCTTCTAGTATATTCCTAAATCCTTACCTGGGGCAACCCATTGTTCCTTTCATCTCCACATCACCAATTTGTATCTTATTCCAGGAATCCTGAGGGAAATGTAAATATGTAATATTATCCTTTCTCAATATTTGCATTTAACCATTTTCCAGAAGTTGGCTTTAAGGCCAGCCATCACTAAGCATCAGGTCAGAGCATCATACTTTCTTGCATCCTCAAAATAAGAGCTATAATAGATATGCTATTGTTTTTAATAAAATACATCATTTTCAATATTGATATATTACTCATCTATTCCAAGTTGTCTAATCCATTTTGCAAAAGTTACAGTATCAGTTGTATGAATTATCAAATTGCTTCAGGTATATTCCACTAAAAGATAACAACTGGACCATTCAAAACATACCTGTCTTATAGGCATGATATATGTGTGGGGGTTTTTAATATTTAATTTATCAAACATAAAATTGTAGGTTAATACAAAAAGGAAGAACCAAAAAAGCCTTCTGTAGAATGCATTCTCTACTCAGATGTGTATTTGTCCTGATTTCAGAATTGATAATGAAAATTGTATTTAATCTAAGATCTTTTAAGTCAATTACAGTTCCATAAAAATGTTATCAATGAAAACAAGTCAAATCAGTCTTCACTTATCAGCCCAGAAGCTTACTAGAGCAATACTTCTTGGAAGACAGACAAGTTTTGTGAGACCCTGGGAATTTTGGGTCTTTAGAAACATTCAAGCCCATAAAAATAACCCTCCAGAAATAAATGAGAGTGAACTCAAACATGTAAAATCTGCACCACTCCACCAGGTAAACCCCAGTTTTATCACACATTAAAGAAATAGAGAAAGTTAGATATTCAGCAGCCATGGTATTGTCAGACCATCACAATGAGCTTTTATGTATAATGTCAAATATGAGAAAAATTTCACAAAATGCACCATTTTTTGTATCATTAGATGTCTTATACTGTGTATAACATTTCCTATTTTAGGCCTAAAGGCAAGCACACAGTACCAGCCTCACATTTTCAATACATTCATTTGATCCTTCACCAAGTTGAATAAATATAAAAGTTAATATCCACAAACCTGTTATCTCCCGTGAAGCTTTCCACACATTTATGATGGAAATTCTAGGATTCTATCTGTACCTGGTATTCAGCTATTGCTGACCAGATGTGCCAGTGCAAACTTCAAGACAGCAACTTTCCTTCTCTGCACTTGGAGTTTACGCCATTGCAACTGCACCAGCCATTAATGACTGATTCTGAGCTAATCCCAAATCCAATCTAGGCATTAGCTATTCTTTGGACTCAATATCCCAAGGAAATTGGGTTCTGAAGAAAGTGTCCGTGATGCAGAACAAAACAGCAATTAAAAGTTCTGTTTATCACTTACCTCCTCAAAAGCACCGCAACCCGTAATAACAATATTTGGTCTGAAGTTCTTTATCTGAACTTTCTTCTCCATCTTAGTATTGAGATCTTCCAATGAAGCTTCTGAGACGATCAGGACTGGGCTGCAGTCAGGATAGGAAATCTACAAATATAAAGGCAAACAAATCCTAATGCTCCCACTAGAGCATTCGTCTCAAATAGCTATCATAAATTGAAATTAATCAAACATTACTATTAAGCTTCCATATACAAGTTGTTTATATAGGGTTAATAAATGATAGCTAATAGACGTAAGCATATTACACACACGAGCGTTACATGTTGCAGGTATCAAAAGAAGGTTATGAGCACCCCACTGGCTTGTTGGACTCTATAACAATCTCTAATCCATTAAGCATTTAATCATTTACTATTATATAAACTATTTTAAAATTGATTTTTCATACAAAAGGTGATCCGTATTTAATTACAAACCAACAAAACCTTGTTTAACTCTGCAAGTCAACTGTTTCTTTCAGCTTCCAGAGAGCCTAGCTCCTAATTCACAACCCTTCTTGGTAGACTCTTTGGTCAGCAGATGAAGTTTATTTGCACATTTATAGTTCTCTGCTTAGTGATGTCTTTCTCTGGAGCATCAGAAAAGAAAATATTCTCTTTCCTGTGCCCAGTCTTACAAGTAGTAAGCCGACTATGTTTTTCAATATTTCCTTATTTCAATCAATATCTAATGGACTTGAATCCACTTTGTTGTAAACTCTAGGGGAAAGATTTACTCAGCAAACAATAAAATTAAACTGAAACTGATCATTAATGGTGCTGACTTTTCTTCGTGGAGGCTGCCATTTTGGCAAGAAGTGTCACTGAATAATACTTTAAGAAAACTCCCTCTGTTCACATCAGTAAATGGGACAAGCATGAATCTTTGAAGGCAGTGTTCAGGCGAGTTTCAGTGCAGACTGAGAGTCCCTTCCAAATGATTATTTTAAACATTTGCACACATTGTACAAAATCTGTAAAATGACAAGTAGTCTCTGCTCTCCTTTCTCTCAAACAAGTGCAAATGTACAATGAAAATACGTTTATATTGCGCTGCCCTCTATGTTAACACCAACACAACAACTCTATGCTCATGCATCTGCCAAATTAACATCTCGCTATGCCACACACAGTATCTTCAATTTCAAGGAGTGCTTCAGGGAAACAATTAATCCTCTTATTAGTCTGAATTAGTCTTCATTTACTTGTCGAGAAGATGCACGCACAGAGTAGAGAGATTTGAATATGACTTTTTATACACATTTTCGGTTTGTGCAACAGCAGGTAAAGTGCTGATGCTCAATGAACAATTATGCTCACAGTTGCAGGTCAGGGTGTGCATTTGCTCTGTCTCCTTGCACTATCAAAGTCACAGGAGGAACGCTTACTTGGAGCAGGAGAGGTACTGTCTTTACCATCATGCTCTTCTCAGATTCTGCTCAGGTGAGGTAAGGTGGGAGGTTGGGGAGAAGGAGAAAGCATCCCTGTTCTTAAGATCCCTGACCCCAGGGATCTGAGGCTGTTGAAGAAATGCATTGACTTAGCCCATCCCAGATTTCCCTGCCTGTTTTTAATGCAGTAGTTGCATACCCACTCCAAGAAAGAGGGGATTGTGGGCACCATTTGCTGCCATAACCTTCTTTCGTGTGGGCTTTCCTTGGTGGAAGCCCTAGACCTCAGATTAACTCAGGGCTCAATCAAGGCTAGCATCTGTAAACAAACCAGCAGTAAAGAGAAGAATTCATATTAGATCAGCAATGCACATAACTGGGGGTGGAGAGAGTTTACCAATAAACTGCCTTCAAAAACTCCAGCATCTCTCATTCATTGAAGTGGATCAGGAATCATATGCTATCACTTCTTGACAAAATGGCAACCTCAGATTCTCTAGCTGTTCTTGTTTAATAACTTTAAATTGATTTAAAGCAAAATTTAAATCAATGGGACTTCTCATAAGCATGAAGCAGGTACTTTATCATGAACTGGCCTCCCCATGTAACAAGTATTACAATAGGAAGGCTGAGTGGGAGAGACGACACACACTCAAAGGAGGATTATTGAGTAAAACTGTCATCTAACCTTATCTGTGGATCGGAAAGTGGTGAATATGTCTCTTGACTTCCTAGGCACCATGTGTGGCTCAAAATGCACCAATCGATAGGACTGTGCATTCAAGTAGGTGGTGATCCATTGAGCTGCCTCATCTCCACAGTCCCTGCCTTGGATATCCATTCCAAAGAGCCTAAAAGAAGCACAAGTTAATTTGAAAGCTGAGAATTCCTGTGTACTTCTTTTCATCGCTACACTTCAAAATCGAGTATCTTGCTTTCATAAAACAAACAAAAAGAAGCAAACAATGAGCAATCTCAATAACGATAATGACATTAATAAGGAACTTTGATTCCGGCCATTTCTGAGTTAGATTCTGGACCCCTAAGACTCTGCATATTTTCCAAATAAATCCAGTACATGCAACACCAGTTCCTTGCAGGCAAGCAACCAGAACAGTGGCACTGAAACACAGTCATTACATTTCTCCCCTGTTAGGGACTAAAGAAATGAGGCTGAGTTAACTGTCACAACAATGTGCTATAAACACACAACATCTGGTTGCCATGCTAGATTTAAAAGAAAAAAAGTCAGACTTATTCCATACCCTTGTGTCAATAATATCAAAGTATTATTCCACTATCTGGCAGGAGTGCTGAGGAAAGCAGGAAGGACTGCAGGCGGAAGTGGGGGGGGGAGGCATAGAGGGGCATCTGTCTCTGTCCACACAGAGCAGCCAGACCATAGCACCATATTAGGCTATTCTAGGTACACCCCCTCTAAACTCCACCCTAGCAAAGGGCAACCCCCCTCCCCCACTCCTCCAGTGGGAAATCACTCTCCAAAGCACAGACAGTCACGAAAGAGCCTGAGGCACAGAGGCACACACACACACTAGCAGCCGTAACTAGGAAGGCAGCTGGACAAGTGAATGCCCAGCCAAGAGGAGGTAGGGATAGCAAAGGGAGGGAGGGGATGACACTGCTGGTTCCACTACACACAGGAGACTAGGGAGAAGGCAGCACCTTTCCCCCATGCCAGGAGGAAACATTGGCCTTTGAATGGCCTGCTCACTTGCTAAGTGCAGCTTTCCCACTGCCTCCCATCCAGAAGGAGCCAGACTCACCCACCTCCGCTCCAACCAATGCAGAACACACCAGCAGGACCAGATTAATGCACAGGCAAAGTAGACATGTGCCTAGGGTCCATATTCACATGCGTAGCATGACACAGAGAGAGAGAGAGAGAGAGAGAGAGAGTGTGTGTGTGTGTGTTGGGAGGGGGTGGTTTTGTTTTTTAAAACACCCCCAGTGCAGATTCACTCCTTCATGACAGATCGGCAGCCAAGCTGCATTGAAGGGGGGGTTCTGAACCCATGCACCAGGTCACAACACTGCTCGCTCGAGTGAGCAATGTTCTTTCAGTTCATGCACCAAATCTGCACCAGTGGAGTGGACAGAGACAGTCCACACACACAGCTGAGATTTACATTGGCCTCTAAACAGAGTCAAGGAGAAAGGAGGGTTCTGGGTAATGAAGCCAGTTCCTTTTCCAATAGCAGCCAGTAAACAAGCCAGGATGCCGATCTACTGCAGCGGCATGTATGGGAGGGAATGTGACTGAAGTGTATTCTTATTCCAATTAGAAGACAGTGTCACTGTGCATTGCTACTGAAATACTGCTTTCTTTCTCATTTTTGGGACCATAAACACTTACAGTCCAGTGTGTAGAGAAGTACAAAGTCTTAAGTCTATATGATATTTTAATATGTACTGGCTTTGCTTGTGCATTTTTTATGTAGCTTGTTGTAAAACTAGTCAAATATTTAGATGAGCTGATGTACCACCTGGGCAACCTTTGCATATCCCCAGGACTCTGGCTGAAAAGTGCTGCAGGCGAAGGGTAAGGGGAGCCAGCATAGCCTGAGCCTTGACAGGAGACTGAGATGAAGAGACCATACAAAGGGACAGGAAACTACAGGGAGTTCTTCTCTCCATTGGGGCAAGGGAACAAACCTATAGTGGCCCAATTCTCCAGCACAGGAGCTCTAGGGCCACTCTTGATCCCAGCATGGTTCTGTGGGAGGTTCCTTAGTAACTTACCTCTATGCCTACAATTTTAGACTCCAGCTGCAAAGCCACTTGACACTGTCACAGGGTTCTCCAAAAGCAGACTGCATGCCAGGGAAGGAGGGGCATGCAGATCCATCTGTCTCACTGCCATAGCTCTTTGCCCCCTACCCTTCACCAGCAGCTCTACCACCTCTTCCCCTATTTCAGGATGCAGTACTGGAGTCCCAGCCCTGCCTTTCCATATAAAAAGGTCCCAATTTGGTAGACACAAGCAGCCCCCAGGGGAGTCCAAAGGTAGTAGCTAGCAATTTTGGGGCTGCTTTTTCACATAATCAGCAAGCTTGGATGAAGGCAGAAGAGGATCCTCCCTCCTTTCTCTCCCTCCCACCCCCCAAGTCCCCAGTGAAGATAAAGGGGTTTTTTTGTTTAAGCTGGCCAACACCACGGCACTGCAACTCCATCTGAGGACTCAGCCTTAGTGTATAATTTACCTGAGAAGGTGCCAGGAATGGAGCTGGACAAGTTGTGAGTATTGGTTTGTTTATTTATTACTTATTTAATTATTGAACCTTAACTCTTTTCTTCCCCAGATTCTATTTTCCGTGCCCAATAAAGTCTCCTTTGTGATGCTGTTATTTTGCAAGTGTCATTTCTCTGCAGTGGGTTGTGTTTGTTTTCTTTATTGTCCCATGTATAGTGGGCTTTGTATTTCTTGGAAACTAGTATTACCAAAGGACAGCACCCCTGTGCCGTGCATAGCAATGAATCACCTCAGATAGAGGCACCAGAAAAGAATCTAGAACCCAAGCTTTCCATCGCAAACAGTATCATTGCCCATGTATATATGGCTCGTGTAAATTAAAAAGAAAAACTCAACTACAGTATTTAACAGCAGTTTCCATAGCAACAATTTACATGTGGAGCTGGCAAATATTGTATCTTAGAAAGCTACTTTATTCTCAGCTACAGCAGCTGGAAGGAGCGGCACTTCAATCTCTTCTGCTGTCCAGAGGCAAAGCCCATAGCACCCCATTTATGGGGGCTACCAACATTTAAAGCTGCTACAATATTCTCAAATGTAACTGCCATTTTAACAAGGGGAAAGTGTTCTTACCTTTTCTGCTAGACCTAGCCCAAATTTTTCAAAACAGGTAAAATACTTAATGTCACAAAATTCCAATTTACCAGTTGTGGGTGATGATGGATATCACACAGAATTTGCATATTGATAATCATGATATAGCTACACACACAACCAAAATTTTCAAATGCAAACACCCAGCCAAGCTAAATACAGAACAGAGAGTAAATATGCCTGGGTAATTGTGGTAGTATACTAAAGCTCTGAAGATTGTAGTTGCATAATGTCTGATATCCTTGATGCTATCGCCTAAAAATGGAGTTCAATAATAAGTGGACTTATTTAACACATTTAGACCAGCAGAGACCATTATAATAACACAGCCTGACCTCTGGCATAACACCAACCATAGAATTTCACCTGCATCAAGTCCAGGAAGGGCTGTACATTACACTCTCTTAGTAAAATATTTAATTTAATATGCTTTTCTGTAAGAATAGTGCTGCAAAAAGAAAGATCTTCCTCTAATACCTGCAATTGTGAACTGGATTTTTCTTGGGGAGTTTGATAGGAACACGAAGTTCCTTCATATCTGAAGCATTCAGCATTAAGTAGCCATCTTCACAGTTTACAGAAATCAAGACCAGGCGTGGTTCCTGCCGAGCAGTGACCATATGTCCATCTTCAGTAATTACAAGCCAAACCCTGTAGTATGAAAAGAAAGAAATACATTAAACATTTTACTTACACAGCACCATCAAAGGCAAAGGCAATGCAAAGAAATTCAGGGAGGCAAATAGCTTAGAAGTATTTTTCATAACATCACAATTACTTGGGCTGTCCCTTTCTCTCCCATTTGTGCCCTTATATAATACAGATCTCTCTCACTGAAAGGGCCTATTACTAAAACTAATAAACTACAGCCCAA